AGTAAAAATTAACAGGGCAGACCATGTCCGAAGGTAAACATTATGCATTTGCTTTGCAAATGTTACTTCTCTAGTTTTTTTTTAATTTTCGTAGTTATACCAAGGAATGCGAGTGGCTGGGCCAGTGACGCTCAACATTATAATATTAAACTGTGAACTTTGTACATTATTTGGTCTGTACCTTATAGTAGCCTAGATGTCAGACCGTTGCAAGGACGCACAAAAGCCAGCTCCTTTACGTTATGGTTAGCCTAGATGCCAGACTGTTTCCAGGGCCTACACAGGGCAGCTCCTTGACTTTAGTGTTAGCCTAGATGCCAGACTGTTTCCAGGGCCTACACAGGGCAGCTCCTTGACTTTAGTGTTAGCCTAGATGCCAGACTGTTTCCAGGGCCTACACAGGGCAGCTCCTTGACTTTAGTGTTAGCCTAGATGCCAGACTGTTTCCATTGCCTACACAGGGCAGCTCCATTACTCTAGGGTTAGCCTGGATGCCAGACTGTATCCAGGGCCTAAACAGGCCAACTGTGAACTCCTCTGCTCCTTGGATAACATGTCCCAAAGGAACTTTTACCACTGCCCTCTGACTTTTTATTTACGAGGGGATGTCATTTGGGTTTATTAATGAAGCTTTTAATCTGTAAAGGTCAAGGTTCCCGAACAAGAAAGTCATGACTGTCTTATATTACACCCCTGGGAATGGAGGCTTAAAAACGTCACGTTTCGCCTCAGCTGAGGATGACTGCTTTACCTTCGTTTGAATAAAAAATGTTAAATGTAGTTGTAGAGTCATTTGGGGCCGTAGGAACATCTGATGATGATAATGATGGTGGCATGTGGCATTATTTAGCAAGCACAAATTGAGAGTAATGACCTCGCAGGACAATCATGTCTTTTTAGCAATGGTTTGTTCAAAAGCTAATCCACTGTCTATGGCACGTTATTGGAAACTGGGGCCCATCCCTATCCTTTTAGTGCCTTGTACCTCCCCAACCGAAGTCAGGTACCCGTTTGACAGCGGGGTGGAGTGTACTTATAAACAATTTAAACGGTAAAGGTAATCCAAGAGCCTGGTCAGTGTGTTGTTACTTCACTGCCAGGGGCACGGTATTGGAAGGCAGAGCCCATCCCTCTCCATAATTTCACCGCCTTATACCTCCCCAATCGAAGCCAGGTACCCATTTCAGAGGGCCTGCAAGGGGGGGGGGGGTCCCGACAACGCTATACGCTGAATTCGGAAATTCTAGATTACGCTTTACGATAAATTCCAAGTGGTCACAATGCATTACGTAGAATTAAAATGGCAAATACGCTATACGTAAAAGTATTAGAGCAGTCCGTCTACGCTCTGCGTAGCATTAAAACGGCCGATTACGCTCTACGGAAAAGGGCTTGCCGGCCCCCATTTCACAGGTAGCAATTTTTATTTCCAGATCCTGTGTTTCCTGATAACCAGTGCCCTGTCGGGTCTGGTGGCCATCTGTGTCGTCCTGCCGCTCAGCTTCGTCGCTTTAGGAGAGGACAAACTGGACGTAAGTAGTCAAAACTACGTGCACATTTCATTTGATGCTTTCGTTCTGTTGTATGAAGACATGGAACAAGGGATACCGTACCAAAGGAAGACTAAGTCAAAGAGCAGTTACTCAAGCCACTGGATATGATTTTGGAAACGGTCAGACGTTTCAGGTAACATCCACTACCTTTCGTCAGTGACAGTAACAGACCGTAGGACAATTGCAGGTTTATAAGCAAGAACTGGTCATTGATATGCAAAAAAAAAGGAATATCATATCAACCATGTCCAGTTGCTTGAGTAACTGCTTTTAGGCGTATTTTGTTACCTGGATGTCTAACCTTAAATTCATCGACGTACAAAGAAAGACTACTTTAGCAAGAATAGTTTAATAAAATAGATCTAGAGTAGAGTAGCAGTTACATTGTTCCTCTTACTTGATATTGCATATCTACTGTTTATCCTGTATGCATACCAACGTTATTAGATTTAAGTAGAGATAGTAGGTTTGATAAGTATATCGTACACGTAGAACTTCATGTTAGCACATAGTCTTATATCACCACATTTTTCTTGTCAATTTCTGTTTGCAATTAGCCCTCGGGCATGAATTTGCAATAAACAACTCACTCACTATATATCACAAAGGATTAGACGTGGCGACTGAACAGTATACACCATACATATACACTATCCCAGACCAACAGACTGGCTGTGGATTGCATCCTGATGGTGGCGGCCGCGCTACAGGGCATCCTGTCTGGGGCCACCTTCTTCATGGCGTTCTGTGGATGCTGCACGGTCAAGGGCAGGAAGAGCTCGGTAAGTTGTGTTTTTGTTTGTTTGTTTGTTTGTTCGTGGATGAGTGGAAGCAACCGGAGACACTTTTTTCATGGCTTTCTGTGGATGCTGCACCGGCAGGAAGAGTTTGGTATGTACCTCTCTGTTGTATCCAGAACCGTGCTTTATCAAAAACCATGCTTGACACAGGCACGGTTCTGGATAGGCCACACGTAACAAACCTGGACAAATTCACCAGGGCACAGCACTAGGTCTGACAAGGATTCGAACTCTAAACCTCTAGATTCTAAATCAACAACTCTTACTATGCAGATGTCTTTCATACTTGTCTAAAGATGTCAGAGTCTTACATTATTAAACTTGAATCGTTGAAACCTGTGTGAATCGTTGTTTCTCTCTCTACGTTCACCACAGGGTTCGACACCTGCCGTGGACATTTTGTACCTTTAGTTTTCCAGAGTTCCTTACCACTGTTTCTTGTTCCTTTCCGTGTTGATCAATAAAACGAAGATCTTGTTTTTTTCAATGTACACTGCAGCGTCAGACACCTGCCGTGGGCGTCATGGACTCAGGGGAGTCACAGCGCCCCCTGGCGACTGTGGGAAGCCACCCTTACCTGCAGCCCTCCCCAGCCCATAATGTTAACGGTACAACATTTGCTTAAAGGTCATTCCGCTTAAATATTGTACTATATAGAGCTAACTTTTAACTAGAAAGGTCATATTTGCAGAGCAAGCGCACAGTGTAGTGTTTACCTTTGCATATAGTCTGCTCTGTTAATTCTTATTCAAACACATTAATGTTACATGTTTATGGTCAGACAGGAGTCTAAATCCCTCCTGCTATAAAATTGCAACATGATGTAACCCAACACTAGTTACCAAAGTGACAGACGTCTGGTTCGGGTCATTGACCTTTTTGGCTTGGAGCAGAAGAAGAAGAGGAATCAGAGCAAAAACAATATGTTTTCCTTCGGTAAACATAAATGTCCCTTATTCCTTACTTGCACCCCATTTTTGCTTAAAGGTCATTCCGCTTAAATTGTACTGTTTTTTTCCAGTGTCGATTCTGTGAAATGTTTGGGATTTTGAGTCTTCTTTGTATTTCAATAAACCAGAAACTCTTGCAAGTACACTGCGAGCATTGTGTAAAGTTTACACTCTCCAAGCAGAAGATAGGCCTGTTTTTGATGTATAAAAGGCTTGTTGTCGGGCTTTTTATTTGTCAGCAAGTTTTTTTGTATCCTGCCCTTACCCTCCAAGGCGAAGTTAGACATGTTTTGGCCAAGATAAGCAAAGAAAAGCCGGCAAAATAGAAACCCTGACAGAACGTCTAAAAAAATGTGTTTGGACATTACTTATGTACGTATTGATGTGCTTTTTTGACCGTTTCCCAAATTTCCAGGTCCGCCTCCGTCTTATGAGGAGGTCATGAGAACCACACTCTTTGGAGAAGAGCGGCACTGGCCGTCGAGAAGATAAAACAACGAAAGAGAAACGGCGGGGAAAGTCATTCTCCCTAGGGCTAGGTTGAGTAGCTTGCGCGGCGTACCATATCGCCTTACGTTTGCCTAAGACTAGTACGCCGCGCAAGCCACTCTGCCTAAGGGAGGATGAGGAAAGTGAGAAGATTTTTAACAAGAAGATAAAATGTTGATAAACCTTAAGGAAGACTGCAGGAAGAGGACAGTCAGAAATTCAATGCGCTATTTTTTTGTGCTGGAAAAACTCTGTAACAGCACTGTGATAACTATCAACTCACTGACAGATAAAATGTGGAATGTCCTTGCAATATCATACATGTTCATAGTAGAGATGTACGATGTAGCTCTTGTACAGTTAGCAGAATTCACCTCGCAGAATATGTTCTGTTTTGACCTGTGAAGCAGCGCTACCTATCTTCCTTCTCCATCATTGCATCCTCCCCTCCGAGTAGATAGCCAAGGGTGAAAATGAAAGGGAAGTGATCATGGAAGTAGACTTACAACCTCTTCAATTTTCACTTCATTTTGAAAAATTTGGAGAGTCGTGGGGGAAAAATATTGAAACCTGGTTCTGAACAGTTCATAGTGTGTCGTGTAAAATAAAGTTGTAGTTAATGTACTTAGAACTGAAATAGATTAATTAATTAAATAAATGTGTTTATGTTCCCAAAGCCATGCCATGTTGTTACTTGATGTAATCAATGACAAGGTCTCAATAATGCAATTATTAGCTTGGTCATTCTATGTTCTTTCAAATACATTTGCCAATGGGTAAATCTTGTTCATAGCATAAACATTTATCTGACTTACTATTAAAACACACATATTCTATAATACATAATACGAAAACCAGAAATTTGGTATAATAAAGAAATAAAGCTCAACTCATGGCACCAAGGCTAACAATAGAATGTGTGGTGTGTCAGTGAAGGTTATACGTGTGTTCTGTGGTATGTTAAGAGACATTTAGCAAAAGCAATGGCTATTTTTAAAATGAAAATCAAAATCATCATGAAACTTCCGCATAATGTTCTTAATTGGGTTTATTACAAAACTCAAATACATGTACATGTGCACCTCCAATTGTCAATTGCATATTTTGTCTCCACTCTACAAGATATAAAGTGTACAACATTATCATTCCACACCATCTTTACAAATTCAAATGCCAGCCTGAGTGAATGTACATGTACATGTATATAACATTATACATTTTGTTAAACTTTAACCAACCCCTGAAACTGCAAAATTCAATTAACTCTAAAATCTGCTGTATCAAGTCCTATTCCAAAACATACAGTGGTATGAAGTATAATGTTGCATTCATATATATACCGATAACACAAGAGGCTATCTTAGATTATCTAAGGGTCTACAGTGCTGCAAAAGCTTAGTATGAAATGTTGATTGTTCTCATAATGTTTGCAAAGTGTTGCCATCTGAAAATTTCTTTCACCAGTGATATGAACCTGTGATGCTTTCCCTAGATATCCATTCTTGTCATACATTTGTAAATCACACCATTAGTATATTGATTACTTATGGAATAGTTGGATACCTGTTCACTGGTATATGTAGCATGAATAACATAAGATTAATTGGTGGAACTGTCAATTGTCACTTGAGTAACAGGTGAAACTCCAAGTACTGTGGCTAAGCTCAGCCCTCCAGGCCAAAGGTTTGGAGAAGCTTGCTGTATGATTTAGCCCAGTACTCTGAGTCCAGAAGCTTCTTCTTCAAACTTTGTGCGGCCCTAAACTCTCTGGGCCCATCCGTCAGGATCTTGATGATGCGCTTAGACAGCGTTTTGGCGGCTTCATCGTCGTCATCGTCGATCTCTACGATCGTGCGGTCGAACTCGGGGTCTTGTTTTGTCAGGAACTTTGCAAGACCAGATTTGTTGGAAATCACAACTGGCACCCCTGCGGCGATGGCCTCCAGACCAACCAGTCCGAATGGCTCTGCACGAGACGGCATCAGAATGACATCGGCCTTTCCCATGTCCTCGCACAGCTCCTCCTGTGTAGCGTACTCCAAGGGAGTGAAGACGATGTTACCCGTATAGGCTTCAATGATGCTCCTGCTTGCTTGAAAATCATCTCGTCTGATGCCGCAAAGTCGCCACTTCGTGTGGGGTAGTTTGTCAATCACCTTGCCCATGGTCTTTGCGGCCAGATCAATGCCTTTCAGCCTCTCCACGCCCTTGACCCTGCCGATGGACAGCACCACTTTCGTTTCTGTGTCAGCCGGTGGCTTCAGTTTCATATCGATGAAGATGTCAGATGGCTTGGGTAACAGCTCGTGATGTTGTAGCGTTAGCTGACTTGTCTGATGCTTGTAGTACTCATACATCAATGGACCGACTGAGAAGAGAACATCAGCGTGCCGTAGGTCATCCAGAATGTTGCGGCTCTCCTGGCCGATGCTCAACACCCTCTCGTCACCCTTGTACTGACTGGTGTCTTCTGGCATCACATGTGCTACCTGGATGAGTTTGGCGTCCGGAAAGCGTTCCTTGATCCGTCTTGCTGCATGACTTGTGAGGTGTATGTGGCCAACGATGAAGTCGACATGTGAGGGAAGGTCTGGATATCGGACCTGGTGGTCAATGGTCAGCCAGGAGAGCTCTGCCTCTCTCGGATCACGCTTAAAAGTTGTTGGGAAAACCAGCTGAATTCCATCAGCAGCCGCGTCATCCATGTCTTGTTGTGTGGCAGTCAGGACTGTGCAAAGGACCATTGCTCCTTTTGAAGCCAGAAAGCACCCGATCTGGCGGTTGACTGTGGATATGCCACCCTTTCTGGTCCCATACTCATCATTGAGCAGCAGCACCAAAGGCCTTCTTCCAGATCCTGGAAAATCAGGTCAAAATCAAGGAAATACTCATTCTCTTATCTTGTCACTTACAAGTGCTTTACACTTTATTTACATGTATGTCAAGAAACAACTTGTAAAAACAGAATCCAAAATAATAAGGGACAATCCATTTTATTCCTTTTTTTTGACTTGAGATTTAGAAAATGAAGTTTTCAATTCAAGTTATTTAGAAATCCAAGAAACTCATATCTAGATATGCAAGACATATTGAGTCAATTTCCTCATAGAGAGTTTTGATTATTCAGACATGTAGGGTGAATTTCTGGAATTGGAAGGCAAAGATACATGGACTTTGAGTAATTTTACTCAAGACCGGCATTCTGAGTAATTTTACTCAAGACAACCATTCTGAGTAACTTAATAAAAGCTAATACTAACATCAATTATTTCAAAAGTAATCTAAGATTTTATTTCTATTAGAAGATGCTGAGGGAATTTAAATGATAGTTAGCAATGACCTGTTGTGTGAGAACTTCTCATCAACTAAATTAAATGTATCTTGATTGGCCATTAAGTATCGCACTGCCATTATCGCTCTGCCATGCATGATACATGTAACACAGAATATCTCATATGTTAATAAAGTAATGACTGTGACTGAAAACTGTTTCTCTTAGACCAGTTTTAGGCTGTCTTGTGTTTTTGCTAATTCCTGTACTTTCCAATCATTCATTCTTTTTGATACGTTGCAAACCAAATTCTATTATATATAATATCAAAACTTAAAAAAAAAGAAAACAGAAGGCTAGGAAACTGTTACAGTACCAGGTTTCTCAGCTCCTGGCAGCTTATCTTGACTTCTAGGCTTGTCACTGCCTTGTAGTTTTTGAACCAGAGCTTTCAACGTGCGGTTTTCCTCAATCAGCTGTGCCAGCTTGTCCTCCTGATGCCCCTCACGAGACCTAGAAGGTCCTTCGGCTGCTGGTCGCTTGGCTGGTTGGGAATGTAAAAGCAAGGTCTTAATAAGTTACCTGGAACATTAGTTGGAATGCAAGAGCCTCTCCCCCACATTTTTAAGCATCACAGAAATTCTAAACCTCTAATTACATGTTAATGATGGAAAGTGTTGGATCTTCTGATGACTGCTAATGGTCTGGTGTGGTCCTCTCTTTGTTACCAGCTACCAAGACATGATATAAACAGGAGCTTATTATAGTGGGACATCAACATTCCATTAAATGCAGTGCATAACAGAGCATGTATTCACTGTGCAATAAGCTCGCAGTGAGTTACTCACATGCTAAAACCAGGAAAATAACACCGCTGCAAATATGTCATGACTAAATAATAAAATTATATATTCAACTGACAGTACCAAGTCTTTGAAAGTATATACGCTCACCTGCACCTCCAAATGCCTGAAGTAATTGTTGATGAGACTCCTCCCAGTATCTGGACTCCAGTAGCTTTGCTCTAAGGTCAGCTGCCTTGCGGAACTCTGCTTTGGACATCCTTAGGACTTTCTTAATCTGACTTGCCCAACGCCCAACGTCTACAGAATCGTCGCCTTCTACTTCCAGTACAGAGTGATGGAATTCTGGGATGACCTCCTCAACCAAAGTGGCCAGTCCTGATTGGTCAGATATGAGGACCGGAACGCCGGCTGCCATGGCCTCCAGACCGACCAGTCCGAAGGGTTCTGCACGGGAGGGCATGAGAACCAGGTGGGCCTGCTGCATGTGTCGGCAGATGTCTTCCTGAGTGCAGTGTGGGAGAAGTGTGGGGATCAGTTTTCCTGAGTTGATGCAGGCTTGGAGAATGGACATAGTGGCCTGAAACTCCTCCTCACTTATGTTACAAATCCGCCATAGGATCCTCTCCAGACTTGTTTCTGCCACCCTTACCAAGGACTTGGCTGTAAGGCCATAACCTTTCAGCCTCTCTACCTTATTGACCCCACCGATGGACAGGACAACTTTCTCCTTGGTTTCCCTGTACTGTACTGTAGTTTTCTGGAACAAGTCCGATGGTTTGGGCAGGAAGAGATGGTGAATCGGCTTCTTGTTTTCAGGGATTGCACGGAAGTAATTGGTGAAGTGGTCATGTATGTTGTGTCCCACAGAGAACACAACATCTGCCTTCTCTGCATCCTCTCTGATGGAGTCTTCCTTCCTCCCAATGCCCATGGCCTCCTCATCATCCATGTACTTTGCTGTGTCCTCTGGTATCGTCCCGATGACAAGACCGAGGTTGGCTTGGGGGAAACGCTGCTCCTGAATGGCTGCTGCTGCTCTGCTAGTGACCCCGGCATGACCCACAATCCACCCAACATCCTCTGGGAGTCTGGGATAGCGGCGGTGGTGGTCAAAGGTCAGCCAATCCAGACAGGGTTCCCTTGTGTCTCCCTGACTGCAGTATGGGAGGATGAGCTCCACTCCATCAACCTCAGCAGCCTTCCTGTCCTCTTCTGTATCCTGCAGAACTGTGCAGTAAACTTTCCTCCCCGCCCCTGTCAGGACCTGTGCCACCTCCCGGTTTACGGATGTGACGTACTTGTCGATGACCAGCAAAACTGCCCTGGGGTCTGATGATGGTTGTTGCTTCAGACCAAGGGAGAGGTACACTGGGAGGTTTGGAACTAAACAAAAAGGAATGACTCACATTGAACATCATGAGTGTCAGATCACTGTAAGTTAATTTTACTATAATTTTACTTAAAATGCAATTGACTGCAATCATGAGCAATTACTCAAAATCATGCTATATGTTTTTCCTGAATACTATTAAATGATTTTTTACAATGATATTACTAGAATTCAACAACTTTTTAAGGTGTCGTGTATGTGTGTGTGAGTGTGTGTGAGTGTGTGTGTGAATCTGCATATGTGATTCAGAAACTGTATGAGTGTCAGAGTGAGAGACAGAGGGAGGGACGGAGGGAGGGACTGTGTGTATGTATGTGATTGTCTGTGATGTCAGTGTTTCCGTGTGTGTGACAGTGTGAGCATGTGTGTGACAGTGTGTGCATGTGACAGTGTGTACGTGTGACAGTGTACATGTGTGTGACAGGTGACGGCTGTGACAGTGTGAGCATATATTGTGTGTGACAGTGTGAGCATGTGTGTGTGAGACAGTCAGTGTGTGTGTGTGACAGTGTGCGTGTATGAGCATGTGTGTGACAGTGTATGACAGTGTGAGCATGTGAGTGACAGTGTGTGTGACAGTGTGTGCGTGTGACAGTGTAAGCATGTGTGTGATAACGTGTGACAGTGTGAGCATGTGTGTGACAGTGTGAGCATGTGTGTGTGTGTGTGTAAGAGTGTGAGCATGTGTGTGAGTGTGAGCATGTGTGTGTGTGTGTGACAGAGTGTGAGCATGTGTGTGACAGTGTGAGCATGTGTGTGACAGTGTGAGCATGTGTGTGTGTGTGTGTAAGAGTGTGAGCATGTGTGTGAGTGTGAGCATGTGTGTGAGTGTGAGCATGTGTGTGTGTGTGTGACAGAGTGTGAGCATGTGTGTGACAGTGTGAGCATGTGTGTGCAGCCTGATACATACAGCCAAGAAGGTTAAAAAAAAGGTCAAATTTTGAACCGCCTTGCTACTGAGGAGAGTGATATCACAATAGTCCCTTACCTTTCACCTCTTTGTCATAAGCTTTTTTCCTTGCAGGAAAATCCTCATCCTCTTTTTTCCTTTTCTGCAGATTTGAAGGCCCAGGAACTGGGTCTTTCCGTGGGTCTTCCTTCTTCCCTGAGTCTTCCTTCTTCCCTGGCTCTTTCCCTGTGTCTTCCTTCTTCCCTGGGTCCTTCCCTGGGTCTTCCTTCTTCCCTGGCTCCTTCACGGGGTCTTCCTTCTTCCCTGGGTCCTTCCCTGGGTCTTCCTCCTTCCCTGGCTCCTTCCCTCGGTCTTCCTTCTTCCCTGGGTCCTTCCCTGGGTCTTCCTCCTTCCCTGGCTCCTTCCCTGGGTCTTCCTTCTTCCCTGGGTCCTTCACTGGGTCTTCCTCCTTCCCTGGCTCCTTCCCTGGGTCTTCCTTCTTCCCTGGCTCCCTCCCTGGGTCTTCCTTCTTCCCTGGGTCCTCCCCCTGAGTACCACCCTTTGCATTCATCAGTTCCTCTATTGTATCTGCCATGCTCTTGTTGACCTCAGTTAACTTCTTATTTTCGTCCTTTTGTTCCAGGATGATTTTCTGTGCCTTCTCATCCTTCTCTTTTAGCCTGGTGATCTCCTTAGTCAGACTGCGCACCATGGCTTCAGTCTGTTCTCTGGCTTCGTGCATCTGTTCCCTGTGCTCACTTTCTAAACGTCTGACTTGTTGTTGTGATTTCTCTTTACTTGTGTGCATGGCTGTCTGTACCTGTCTGGCTGTGAAGTTCAGTGCTGGGATGTCGTCAGTCCTATCACAGAGCTGGTCCTCTCTACTCACCACGGCCAGGTCTAGACTGCTCAGGTTGGAACAGTCCACATGACTGATGGGGGGTGGCAGGGCCAGCAGGTTGTCAACAGAAGTGGTACGGACCAGCCCTGAACATTAGGAATGATGGAGTTAATACTTAAGAATCAAATATCAATTTTCAAAAATTTTAGTTTGTTTTAAATTTTGTTAGCAGAATTTGTGTTGAAACTGATAAATTATTGGCAAATGCCATCTGAAATAAATTTGAGGTTTAATCTGTCTGTCAAAAAAACAACATACATGTAAGGCCACACCAATTTTAGTTTTGAGATTTTGCAAATTCAGGTTACCAGTATAAATCACCTCCAAAAGTTGAAGAGATTGTAGCTATTCTTTCAGCCATCAATGCAGTGGTTTGATTAAAAGTTTGAAATGGAAGTTTCAAATTACATAAACTGGCTCTTATCATAACATTTTCTTGCCCTGCTGCAAAAGTTGTACATGTATGTTTTCTGAAATAATTCGAGAACCAACAAATCAAATTGTTGTGGCCTGAGTTGTACATGTCGTGAAGTTCTCACCTTGCCCCAGTCTGTCCCGTACTCGCACATAGTCCTCATGCTTCACGTGGAGCCTCACGATCAGCTGGGCGCCCTTGACCTTGTCCTGTAGGTCGTCCGAGATGAGGATGTGTGAGAGTTGTTGAGACAGGGTTCCCTCCCCCACCCTGTAGTGGTTGTGGTAGAACCTGTCCACGTCAGTCTGGCGCAGGAACGTCAGGAGGAGGATGACAGACCCACTAAGGAGACCCGTTAGGAAAGCCTTGTGTGACAGCAAGACCTGTTCTGCTTTTTTGCGGCGAACGTCATCCATTAACACATCTGCAGTAAACAGTGTGCACTCAAGATCCAAAATACGCGCCATGAGTTGTTCCTGGCGTTCTCTACTGATGCCCCCCTGAGCAGAAGTTTGTGGCCCCAGGCCCAACTGTAGTGGCACAGGAAGGACTAGATCTGAACAGCGCAGTTCTGGAGGTGGATACAAAAGGGTGGAGGGAAATGTTTTATTAGTTATGGTATTACAATATGAATACCACTGACCACAGTCTAAATGAAAATGGTATTATCAAAGTGCACATCTTCAAATAGCTTCCAAAAACCATTTTGTTTGTCTGTCTAAATACAATGTTAGTTTGAATAATTATTATCTAATTTCCGTCACTCAGCTCCTTTGTTGCATGCAGTCATCCCAATAGCCTGGGTTCCAGACCCATAGCACACTGGACACAAAGTATCTCAGTGAGATCCTTTGTGTCCAGTGTGCTATGGGTCTGGCACCCAGGCTATCATCTCAACAGCTCACATCACTTTCAGAGATTCTATAAAACTTTAAGCCGGCGGCAGTACAATGTATAATCAAAGGATGAATATGTATGTATGTTTGTATGTATGTATGTATGTTTAAAATTCCTTCTTACCGGGATATTTTATCTTCAGTTCATCCACAGTACTCTGTAGTTCTGCATCTGACAGAGCTTTCATCAGGACCTCTATGGTGGCTCTCTCTCCGTTGAGCCTGAGCCATTCCTCCAACAGGTCCATACAACGAGAATTGTCATCTGGGTTCCTGCCTGTGATGTTGTTGATAGCTGCTTGCTGAAACCCAAGAAAGAAGGCCAGGTCCCCCCAATGTGATGAAACCCTTTTCTTGATGAAAAAGAAGTACCTTCGAACACCTGCAAAGCAACAGGGAAAACTTAGCAGTTATATTAAAAAGTTTAAGTCCAATACTTAGTAAGAACATCACATTTCACACTGTCGAATTTTATTCTACTGCTTGAGATGAATCAAGATGGCCATAAATGAACACATCAGGGCATAATAACCATTACTATATAAACAGGGTAGGTGGGCAGTTTAAATGTTTACTTATCTTTGATATTCTTTTATCAACTGATGACACCATGTGTCTGACATATGATCTACTAGTTTGGTCACTTGAATTCTGAGGAGACTACAGTAGAAGAGTCCAAAATTTGATGCACTGATTTTTATATACTTGGAGATAAGTTTTAACTCATGTATCATATTATTTCTACACATATTAATAGAGTATATGAATTAGTACCTTCTAATGCTTCAATAAAAACAATCATTATGGTGTTTATGAAATCTAAAAAATACAATATATGCATAGTGATACAAAAAGAAGTTACTTTAAAGAGATACTGCACTCATGGAATATGTTCTGTTTGTTTAGGAATGACCTCTGACCTTCCATTGCTGATCCCTCCCGAAGTTGAGCTGTTGTCTTCACAGGAGGCTGATCTCCGTTCTCCTTCTTCCTTTTTTGCTGACTACTGGAGGACTGTTCTGTGTCTATATGCCAATAAAATGCATACATATAAGTAATGTTACAGCGAACAACCTTTGGATACTCCTAATAATTGTAACAGTTATAAATAACCGTTCCCGACTTTATACCTTCGCCAAATGATGTTAATCGTTATGACTGACAATTTGTAGATTATTCCCCCTGTTGTGCAAATAGAATTTTCATGAATTATATCTATTTATCATATTCTCAACCAAAATACAGTATTATATCAACAAACAATGCCATTCTAGTATTTCCTCATAAATTATGCAAATGAGGTCCTGATTTGACTACATTATGTTTAATGATGTTCACCTTCACTGAACTTTCAAAGACCACAAGTATGAAATTCAAGGCAGTTATCATTACATAATTATAAGATTTTCTCATTAATTATGCAAATTAAGTCCTCATTTACATAATCAATATCTGCCTGTGTTTCTCTTGTTCTCAATTACCAATGTCACAAGCTTCAATAGCCCTAGTATAGAATGCAGCTGATTTATAGAATTTTCCGATAAATTATGCAAATTACATCTATATTTGCATAATTGTCACATAATTATATGAAGCATCACGTAAGCTACCTACATACCAAAAATCATGACGATCCGTCCACCGGTTCTTGAGTTATCCTCTTTTGAATATTTTAAAACAGATGGCCCTGCAGTTCCAGAGCAAGCTGCTAGGGGGCCCAAATTCACGTCACTTCTTCCCCAGCACAAAAGCTACCTACCACCCAAATTTCGTCACCCTAGCATGTCTAGATCACGAGATATCAAAACCGGAAGTTCAGCTGCACATAACTGATCGAGAACCACTAGGGATCCGAAATTTAATCATTAAATTTTCTAGATCTCATCAAGTACCTACCTACTAAATATCAAGTCAATTCATTTTGTTTCCAGACACACACACACACACACACACACGAACGCCCCTGAAAACATAACCTTCTTGGCGAAGGTTACGTAAATAAATGTAATGCGAATCAAACCTGTTGCTAGAGAAGACCGTGTTCCCCCTGTGACAAGGGTTTCTGCACTGGCTGAGTTGGTCTGGAGGCGTTCTCTTGGCCCAGACTTCTCATCAGCAGATAGTACAGACAACTCTAGAACAAACAAAATATTTTCAAGTATTCTAAATGTTGCATCAAACATCTTTTCAATCAAATGGTGTCTTCAATCAAATGTCCTCATGTATGATGGTCTTCAGGCTGTGAGATCTTGCAAGAATTTATAAATGGTCAATTTGCATTATTTGAGAACAGTTTATAATAAATTGGCTGCATTCTATCCTGTCTTGACCGTCTGAAGTAGGAAGTTTCTGACATTGTGATTGACATTTACTGTAAAATTTACCTTCAGACTTTCTCCTCACTTTTCTTTCAGGGCTGCTTGCGGGTGATGCCAGGGGACTCCGACTCCGCTTTGCACTTCTTTTCTCTGTTGGAAAAGAGTTTAGATTTTATTATATACACTAATTTCAACATTTTTAGACATGACATAATGAGCGTATATCTTATATACTAGTGCCCCTTGTCTCATCTTGCATAACACAGGTACATGAAATACATTCAATGCAGCAATATGCATTAATCACAAATTGGTCAGTGCATGTGAAAATCAATATTATAATAATAATATCATATTGCCAGGCTTAAAAATCCATTCCTTCATAAATTCACTATGTATAAGATGAGCTCTGAGATTTTTAGACAACAGCTTCAGTGGACCAGGCCACAAAAACAGCATAAACATGCAGAGGCCTTAAGTTGTCCTGCCATACATGAAATGTTTGAGTGAAGGTCTCAGGAGGATTCTCACCACACACAAGACCTGTTTCAGACAGACTAGAACTCTCCATAGTGTAATAGCTACTGTACATACCTGGTTCTTGAATACTATCAAACTCCAAGTACAAGACACCAATAGGATGATAAGTGCGGGATTATATACCATATACCGTGCCAAGGTCAGAACTCCAAGAGTAAATGTTAAGAACTTTATGTTGAAATTGGAGAAACAGAAAGATCACTGACTTTAATAAGGCTAGGAAGTAGTAGAACACAAACAGCCTAGCTTGACCACTTGGGAAGTTTCACAACATATACATATATATAGCCTGGACATTCAGTCTCATTACACAAGAAGTAAGAATCTTGGACAGTGAACTTCTCTTACATGAGGTGTCAAAGGGACCATCTTCATCTTGGCTAACGACTCATGCATCTCCCCAATTTGAAATTACAGATCAAACTTGATTGCTTCATGGCAACTTCTACCTAGTACACAGATTAAGGAAGTTGTAATTTATAAAACTACAGATAATTTTTTTCTATTCACAGGTCACATAGAATGTGCATTTCTTTCAAGGAAAGGCATCATCTCATAGGCTCCACTTCATTTGAAACAATTGAATACTAACTAAAAAAAAACAACTGATATGTCACACACACACACACACACACACACACACAAACACACACACACACACACACACACACAAACACACACATATATAATATAAGACATATCAGTTAGTAATCATAGCAGTCAGTTCATCTTACATGAGAGATCATGAGAAAGTCCCTGGCTAGCAGTCAGTTCATCTTACATGAGAAAGTCCCTGGCAAAACACGTGAATTACCATCTAAGTAACCCTTTTCATGTTTATTCAACCGTGAATGTTGAAAACAAGGTAATACAGGGTATTTTTGATGGCGTGTTGGCCTACAATTCTACGTAACGCTACAAACTAATGCTGTACGAATGTACAACTACACCATATATAAATATGTACGTCACGTATTCACGAGATACCAGCAGGCCTTTCTAAAAGGAGTAAAAGGTCATTAATTGAGGGGAAGACAGTGACACATTTCCCCTTAACTGCGCGGCAAATACAAACTTCCCTGGCAAATTATTCTACTAAAGGCCGATGTACATGTAGTTAGTTTGATAGAGACTGATAGACTGTACTTTCACCTTCCTTCTCTTGTGCAGCAACCGTCTCCGCCTCCTTCGCAAAGTCGTCCCTGCCGATCTTTGTCATAAGGTCAACAAGTAGAGAGAGGTCTCCCCTGGGCAACTTCATCTTGTGTTCTAGTTTGACAAAGATCTCTTGCGGATTCAGGTGTTCAATCTCTCCAGCTGGCAAAAGTTCTTCGCTCTCTACGTAGGTGCGAAGTTCCTTGCTTTCTTTGTCTTTGAGGTGCTGCTTGATCCGCAGAAATAGATCGGAGCGGGACATTTCCGCCATGTTCAGCCTAATATGACTACTTACCTGTTCCGTGAGTGTGGGCAATCCCCCCGTTAAGTTTCAATATGTAAATTGGGGGTGGCGGGGGAGGACTTAGTTCTAATAGTTAACTAGTAACTCGCGTTCAGTTCTTTCTCTGGATATGAACTGTGCACACTTTGCCCTTAAACCCCTGAAAACTGCTTTACTCTTGCAAAACCACTTGAAATAATTGTTTAAACCGATTCGGACCCCCATTCGTACCTTGGTACGGTCCCATTGTTGTCTTAAGGTTATGACCTTACAGGTGAGCTCACCGCGTCTCTTGTTTAAAGAACAAACAAGTTTGGGGTAAAGTTGCCTGCTGGCTTGTGATTGCAGAATATATGATTCACAATAGCTACAATGTATGTAAAAGCACGTACAAGTTTTTGTTGAATTTGGTTAATGTTGTGTTGTAAGCTATCTTACAACATTCACTGTCTACTCACTATGGAACACCACTTCACTGTGGAACAAGCTTCCCCGTGAATGTTTCACCGCTAATTACAACCTCCAACGGTTTAAATCAAGGGTGAACAAATATCTGACCACGCAGTCATCACTGTAACCCAAAACATGTAAGTGGCTCTCACGAGCCTTGTTTTGAGGTGAATCATGTTGGGATTGCGCAATAGGCGTAATACCCGGGGATTGCACTGGAGATTGAGGAGTTGGGTCGCCCCCCTCTAAGGGGAAGCCAGGGGCGCATGCGCATTAGCCTGTTCAATTTCCAACCGAAAGGGAGCAGCCATTTTCGGTCCTTTAGCTATCTTCTGTCTTCCGAACCATGTGGGGCGCTGGAAAGCGTAAGACCCGTAAACCAGCCCGATTCAGCGACTTCACGGACGACCCGGACATGGCTGACGACTTCTCTCATGACTCCGACGCGCTGTCGGCCCATTCATCGCGTCACAGTCGGTCGGAACTCCAGGAGCACATGGAGCGTGAGCTCCACAACATGAGCAAAGACTTGGAGGAACTGAAGCTGGACATCCAGCGCACAAAGGACGACCGTACGACGCCCAAAGAATCGCTGGCACGGCAGTCTTCAGGTCGCAAGAGGTCGTCTTCTCCCTCCTCGCAGCGTTTATCGAGGATTTCGGCCGCCGTGCTGAGAGATTTTCGCAAGATGGCAGGTGACGTCACGAAGCGTGCCAATAGCTCTCCGCCCCCCTCCCACAGGTCCCGACGCCCGTCTCGGAAGTTGCACAGCTCCCCGGAGTTCTCGTCTACGTCCTCATCTTCGGACAGGAGTGTGTCTTCTGACACGAGTTATGGAGGTAAGCCTTCTCGCTCTCGATCTAGTAAGAAGAAGAAGTCGATGAAGAGCGGCTTACATAGAAAGGCAACAGATAGTGTGAAATGCCGAGTCATATATCCGCAAGAACGCCTGCCCGTCACGGAGGCAGGGGCTGTGAAGTACCATGATATGGAATGGCACCAGTTTCTGTACGGCTCTATGGATATCATTATATCAGCTGATGTGTCGAGGGCTGAGCGTAAACAACGCCAGAAGATCCTGAGATTCCTCATGCTTGAGGTACCAGAGTTTGGGTACAAGTCCATCCTTGACTTCAACGCTCACATCTTTGGGATGGTAGAGAGAAAGGAACTGCACTGGACGGACAGGAAATTCATGAAAAAGGTCCAGGCGATGAAATCACAGCATTTACGGCGGCCGTTCGAGCACAAGGGTGGATCAAACAGTTCGAATCAATCTCAGAGAAGATACCTGCCTATGACATGTAAGGATTATAACAAGGGGGCATGTGAAGCCAGTCCTGATGCTAAACGGGCACATAGGAACAGCACTGGCCAAACCGTTTACCACTTCTGCCGGCCTTGCATCATCATGCGACAGTCACGACAGGAGCACCCGGCCACGCAGTGTCCCTACGGCGACCCGGCATACAGGGCTAAGCACACGCCCCCTGCCGGCCAGACAGCATGACTAGCTCCACCATCAGCCGAGTCTTCTAGCCTACTGACCGCACGATTTATGGACATGAATTCGGACTTCCCTTCTCCTGTATTGGCTGATGACCTTGACCTATGCCCATGGGCCGTACCTTGCCGTCCTGAGACTATAGCTACACGCTCCTTCCCATCCGATCTGGAGCTTCTAGACTTCCCCGATGATATGCAAATTCCTAGTTTATGGCCAGATCTGTACCACCCGCTGCCTCCGTCGTTACCAGCAGAGAGCATCGTCGCCCCCCGTGCCTTTCCCAGGCGTATCGCACACCGTAGCACCGCTCCCACACGGTGCCCAGTCCTGTCCCGTTGCATCGCTCCCATGCGGTCGCCAGGACTGCTCCGTAGTACCGTCCCCAGGCGGTGACCCGCCCTGTTCCGTGACATCGCGCTCCTGTGGTGATGAGCTGTGCGCTTACAGCAACTCTTCTCCGTCAGTTTGTCAGGGTGATTCCGGCTGCCCTTCAAGCACGTCCACTGAATCAGAAACACTCTCTCACCCACCCGACCAGACAGTCTCAAATGTGGCCATCGTGGACATCTCCACCTTCCGAGATCTGCATATCACAGTAGAGGCTTCCGGACAGTATAATTTCCAATCATGCAGGATCCCAGTCCCTTCTAAGTTGAAGGTCCCGGTCTGGCGCCAGCTTTTACAGGACTACCCAGACAAAGAGATCTGTGATTTCTTGGACTTCGGATGGCCTATCGGTTATGTGCTTGATACAACACCCACCCCGACCTCCCGCAATCATCGGTCAGCCGTGCTGTTCCCAGCAGATGTCGACAGGTATTTAAGTGTTGAAATGGCCTTCGGCGCTATACAGGGCCCTTTCTCGAATCCCCAATTCTCACCTTCCTTTATGACGTCACCGCTGCAGACTGTTCCCAAGAAAGAGTCAATGCACCGCCGCGTCGTCGTTGATCTCAGCTTTCCGGCGGGAGGGTCAGTAAATGATGGAATACCCCCACAGCATTACCTTGGAGAACATTTGGCGATCCCTCTACCAGGCCACTCCGCCTTCGAGCGTTTAATCCGTGACAAAGGGCAGGGCTGTCTACTCTTCAAGAGGGACTTGAGTCGTGCCTATCGCCAAATACCAGTTGACCCCAAAGACTACAATCTACTGGGTTTTCAGTGGGATGACCAATACTACTTTGACACTGTGTTTCCCTTTGGCCTGCGCTCCGCCAGTATGGCCTGCCAGCGGACAACTTCAGCAGTGCGGTACATCTACAATGCCCGAGGATTTGACTGTGTCAA